AAAGTCACGGCGTAGAAGGGAAATAATAAAATAATGAAAATATAATACAATAAAATTCTCACCAAAATATATATATTTTTTTTATTATTTTATTGTTTCCCTTCTACGTGACTTTACCGGAGCGTGTTTGTTTGCGTGTTTTGCCACAAGCACGCGTGCTTTATGCGGATTTGATGCCTTGCAAAAGTTATCTATTTGGTGTTTGAACATCTTTAACGTCTGTTTTATTGCAAGAAATGTTAAAAACTATTATTATTTTTCATACTTTTTACCAGATACTCATTTGAGGCCGAGTGAACATAATGCTAAATAAACGGATAGCGATTATTATCGGGCGTAAATATATTTACTAAGCGAGTGTTGTTTCAGGGTTCTTCTTACCTCTTACATCAGGCAACCCAACAGCATTTGTTTAACAGACCACATCCTGATGATGAGACTCGGAGAACGTCGAAATCGTTCCATATTTTGCTTGTTTAAATAAATTACTGCTGGAAAACGATGGGCCGAAATGTTACTTTCGGTATTTTACGTTCTGTTCGTGGTGAATACGACTTTCTGATTCCTCATACGATATTATATTTAAAATAGCACAATAAATATATATTTCAATTACTAGAAAAAAACTAAAAATGTTGAAAATGATCTCGGAAAACCAATGTTTCTATAATTGTGAAAACTTTGGGCCAACTTTGTGGCCCAAATTATGCATGTTTATAAGAACAATAATTGGCATGCCTTTATCGATTTCACTGCTGGATAAACTCCTCTCCCACGATGTGTCGATTATGGTGGTTATATGACCGGACATCTCCACGCTGGGTCACTGCGAACTGATGAAGGGGTCTGCGTCGAAGACACCCGATCATAACCGCCCAAGTCTGGTTAAATTATCACTCACCGCTGACGTGAGCCCTGGCCAGGAATAGAATAACTCAGGTCAACCGTTATATGTATGTGTACCTGCCGGCACTTGCCCCAACGGTCTATACGACTTACGGGGAATGTTTATCTTTGTCGTCTGCGTTTCTATGTGTGTTTTGTGTGTGTCTGTTAGTTTGCTTTGTATATATATGTGTGTGTGTCTAGCGGTAGTGTAGCGGTTAGCGTGCTGCTAGGAATCCGGAGACTCGAGATCGATTCCCGCTCACGGCCTTAGCCAAGTCGACTCAGCCTCAAACGAGTGCCTGGTACGGTGTGTAAACATCGCCGCTAGGGAGACAAAGGCGGCCGGGCGTGGCGCTGGCCACCCCACCCCCCCCCCTCGTGTGCGTTCCGGCGTTCTTAGGTGCTCGCTAACAGCACATACCCCAAAAGTTTATTGAGGCTATACGGGGGGATCTGCGTCTGTGTAGAGTGTACATGTGTTGCGTATGGTGCATGCGTCCGTCCATGTGCTTTTCGGGAACGGTGGCGCAGTGGTTAGCGCACTGCGCTGCGAGTTACAAAGTCGGCCTGCCGAGTTCGACTCACATCGAGTGGTCGCCACAGCGGTATAGGACCTCGCCGATTTCGACAGCCTTATATGGTCCAGTTTGTAATCCATCTGCGCTGGAGATACAAAGGCGACGGGGCGGGCTTGGTTCGGGTGCCACACTGCCGTTAAACAACAACTTCAACATTAACAGACGACACGGGGGGTAAAAGTTCTTTGTTTTCTGTTTGTGCGTGCACATGTATATCTATGGCGTGTGTTGGCCGAGAGATGTAGGAGATTGAACGGAGGTACAACTGTGGAGGCGTGCATGGGTGGGGGAGAGGCGAGGTGGCTCACCTGGGCTCACGTGGGGTGTGGTGGTGGGGAGCGGTGGGGAGGTGGTGGGGAGCGGTGGGGAGGTGGTGGGGAGCGGTGGGGTGGTGGTGGGGAGCGGTGGGGTGGTGGTGGGGAGCGGTGGGGTGGTGTAGCGGTCAGCGCGCTGCGCTACGAACCCAACCACCCGAGTTAAATTCCCGCTCACGGCCACCAACACCGGTGACTATTATTTGAATCGGTCCTGGGCCTCCCCTAGGTAGACTCGACCTTAAATGCGTTGTGTAATCATCGCCACGAGGGAGACAAAGGCGGCCGGCGTGTGGTTCTGACCAACCCATCGTGTGCCGTTCCGGCCCTGATCGGTGCTCGCAAACAGCACTTGCCCCAAAAGTGCGCCAAAGGCTACCCGGGGGATCTTTGTCTTTTGGTTGTTGGTGGTCGGCAGGGAAGGGATGGGGTTGCTGTTGCCGGCCAGGCGGCTGCTTGACTGAGTGGGGGGGGGGGGTGCCGGTGTCGGCGTGAGCCAAACCGGTCTGGCAGGATTTACCTGCGCGCTCCGGCAACACCGTTATACACGGCGAGCGCATGCGCGTGGGCGACGAGCCGATGGTCGTCTTTACCCGCAGTCACGCGCCTCACCTGGGCCACGGCATCAATAACATCATCATCAACATCATCATCAGCAGCAGCATCACCGGCGACATGATCCAACGCACAAGTTGCCCGTGGTTGGAACTTTCACGAAGCTCACGGTCCACCCTGTACCGCACCCACTGCACAAACCATGGCTGCGGGTGCGAATAGCCGATGCGCGAATGGAGCATTAAAAAAAATCTCTCCTGTGCTCATTAATAACAGACCGCGCAACACGTAACGACGCAAAACCCGATCCGCAAATACGAAGGAGACGTCACGGCGATACACAACTCCGCTGCCGCTGACGCTGTGGTTACCTGGACTTGACCACGTCAATGTGAGATCGTAGTAGTTGCTCCGCATCCACATCAGTCGTAACGAAAGAAGAGGAGGAAAAAGAAGCAGGATCATCATCAGCAGCAGCCGCCGAAGCGGCAAACACCGTGACCATTGCCGCCTGGCGTCGTCTCTCCGTGACAGGCCCCACCCGCCTGGAATCAGAATCAGAATATTTATCCATAAGAGGGGGTTTTTTTGGGGTGTTCGATCGCGTAAATATATAAATGTGTCGTTAAACCCACCACCACCCGACACAGCCCCTAGTAAGGGTTGTCACGTAAACAGAACGTGGCCAATTGGTCACTAGTACAGCACGCCGACGTGTTAGAGAGCCAAGCCACAACATTTACAATCCGAGTACGACGTTTCGCCAATCAATTACCACTAGCTTCATCAGGCGACAGACAGATGTATGCTGGAGGAATCCGATGAGCTATGAAGCTCTCTTTTTCCACAAACGTCCAGTAGTCACATGTGTCCAGTAGACTGATGCCATCCATCATCCAGCTGCACAATCGCAACAGCATTTAGATCTACACTTACCTTTAAGAGACACTGAAATGGCCCCATCTCTTTCTTAAAGGCCCCTTCTATTTTCCCTGGCTTTCGAGTGACACCGAGCATAGCTCCACGCCTCGGAGTCACGGTCACTGATGGCCGTGAAATATTGTGTGTTACAAATTGCATTCTTATTATCATTAGCATTCGCAGCACCAGCAAAAGCAGTAGCATAATGATTACACGTACGCATTAGCATCACCGCCATCAGCATCATCATCATCGACGTCGTCATGATCAACAGCAGTAGCAGCATTATCGTACTCATCGTCGTTATCATCATCATCATCAGGATTAGCATAATCATTATCAGCATAATCATTATCAGCATAATCAATAACCATCATAACCACCAAAATCCGCATTAGCATTGTAATCCTCATATCTGTCGCGGTTATTTGAGTGGCGCATTCCTATGATGGAGGCAGGGTTGGTGGATCACGCGGAGATGAAGCCTTTGCGTGCGGGAGATACGTGCCTGGGCTAGCTGGGCACCTCCGAGATACAGCAAAAGGGTCTCTGGAAGTCGATCTGCGTGGAGTTTGAGCGTTATGGGCTAGTACACAATCGTCGTGATTTCCCGACTAACCATTCAAATAGGACGTCCCTGTGAATGGTCCTTGACACTTAGCGATACTCTGCCGGTAAGCAAATTTAAACTCGCATGTTAAAAAAGGTGCTCGTGAACAAATCACCCGAAGTGCGCCCTCTCTCGCTAGCTAAGCTGGCTTGAGCCTGGCTAGTGCTTGGATGGGCGACCGCCACGCTCCACGAGTTGTGGCCAGACTGTGTGGACAGCAAAGAGTAGTGCGAGGTAGCCGCATTATTGTACCATACTTCTGTGCTGCCGCGGCTTATGCTCCTTCACGTCGTAACCAACCATCGCACAGACCAGCATGGTGAAGTATGGTCAAATAGCCCCCACAGCGCCGCAGGGCGTGGATCGGCCGTCGTCCAGCAGTGGATTGACGAAAGACCTGCGTATGAGCATGGCATGTACGTGTGTTGAACTTCTTTCGCACCCTACGTAGCCAGCCGTGCTAATCCTATAGGTGCGGTGAAGTACAACAAGCTATATACACAAGGATGCACTCATCCACAGCGTGAATCTTAACACGTGTAAGATCCTCAAATACATCACGTAGTAAGCCTTAACAGGCGACTTTTGACAAATCACTCGCAGTGCGCCAGATAACGGAAGCTAAGCTGGTCTGAACCTGGTTCGGGCTTGCATTTGGAGACTGCCTAGCATTGCCAGGTGTTTACCAGGTGCTGGGGGCTTGATGTCGCAAGGCGATCGCGAGTATGTCGGTACCACAACGGATTCGTCGATCCGTCTGTGCGGAGCATTGCGTCTCATCCCCACGTGTGCGTTGAGGGGTTCTCCGGGGTCGCACAATTCTCGTCCTCACAACGCCAATCGCTCATTGATGTAAATGTCTAAAGGTGCTCAAAAAAAGATCAGACGCAGAGCCCCCCCCCCCCCCCGGCACAATATCCTTGCGACTCCGTGAGCCCTTCCTGTGTAAATAAAGTGCATTATTATTCCCGTTATTATTATTAGTGTTGCTACTAACGGCTTATTAGGGCACCTTTTCAGGCGTACAGCCAAAAAAAATAACGCACATCGCTGCTCAAACACGTCCACGAAAGAAAGAGCGAGAGAGAAACTACATCTTGAACACACACACACACAAAAAGAGTTGTATAGGCAAAGGTGTAACGGAACTCAGGGCACAAAACAACTCCCTCCCACCCTCTGTCCGCTCAGCTCCGCCTCCCCCCTAGCCACGTTCACGCGCGGTGGTTTACCAGCAAAGGTGCGCCTATCTTCCCTCCCACACGCTGATCATCAAGCCCTCCTCCTTCTCCTCCTTCCTGCTCGCTCGGGCCAGTTACACGTTACTCCTCTCTCTCTCGCTCTCGCGCTCTCTCGTTCTTCGTGGCGGGCCCGTCACAGGTAAAGTGGGAAGACGGAGAAAGGGACGAGAAAGCAAGGGAGGATGCCACGTGCTTTTCTCGTGAAACAGCCGTGCCAGAGAAAGCCCGCTCGAGACTGGAGCAGCCTCCCCGATCAAGAGCGGGCCGAGTCGTACGTGCCTGGTAAGCGTGCCGGATGGCGGGGGGTTTTAGCGGCGACGTGTGTAGCTGGGTGGGTGTAGCTGGGTGGGTGTAGGTGGGTGGGTGTAGGTGTGCGTCGGTTGGGCGAACGAGGGTGAGTTGGGTGAGTTTGTGGATGGCGTTCGAGGGGGTAGCGAACGCTTGGCTGCGTTGCGCGGGCCTGCGCCGATAACTTACCTGTGCTAAAAGTCACCTGAGCAACAGCTCAGGTGGCAGCCTATGGGCGTTGGTGGTGTATAGCTTAGCGCATTCCACAAAACGTAGTGATTTCCTGGCCGTAAGTAATACGCACACGGATTATTGTATCCATCAGTCTCTCACCGTTACGTTTGTCTCTGCGACCGTGAATACTGCGTAAAAGACGCAGCGAGCGGTCCGTTACACCCGTGCCGATTTAAATTCTCACCGTTGAGACAAACATGGTGCCTGCCGATGCCTGTTCGTTGGCGTGCCCCCCACTCTCTTTGAGAGTGGTTCGTGGAGGTCGTTACACTCGCCCGCGCCGTGCGCCGTCCGCACGAGTCGCCGCAAAGCCTCCAAGAGGGCTCGTGGGGAGACTCCGCGGTGCTGTGCGGCCATGCGCGGTTCCTCGCCCCGAGTCTCGCTTATAACGGAATGGCGCCCGGGGGATTGCTCGCGTTATCAGACTGCGCTATGGTAGGCTAACGGGCCCGATAATGCGGCAATCATTAACGCCATTTAGCGACCCACCCATCTACACCCACTGCAGCCCATCAACGAACCTCCACATTTCCCACCCGCACACAACGTACCTACTACCTCCCTCCCTGTCCCCTCCCTCCCATCCCTCCCATCTCCGTCCCTCTACGTGTGTCCCCTCCTCCCTACATCTCCAGTTCCCTGTTTGTCCCTCCCTCCATCAACCAGGCCCCTTCCCCGGCCTTTTGAGACGCGCTCAATGGGCGTAATCTGAGCCTAACAACACCTTCCACTAACGACCAGTCCCATTCCTCCCGCACCCTCCACCCATCCACCCCCACCCAAAGACAAACTCCGACCCAGTTGCATGCATGCATGGCCATATAACACAACGACAAACAGAACCCCCTGCTCCCCCACCGCACAGCCCGTCATTTTATCTCAATGTTAAACAAAACCGTGTAAACTTTTAAGTGAAGTCGACCGGCGGCATGCCTCGTTCGTACCTGTACAGCCCCCATCTCGTCAACTCACGGCTGGACGAGGACCCTCTCACGTCTCATGGCGGTCATTCGACCATACCTCACCACGCTGGTCAATGCGTGCTGTTGAATGCGAGGTTCGTTACCGTCAGGTCCTAGAAGTGCAGTGCAGCAGTGGATTTTGAAAGGCGCGTTTTCATTTTGTGTGGCGAGACGGAAACTTTTGTTGTTGTTTTTCCCTTTATTTGCAGTATGGTCAGAATCTGAATATTTATTTATACTCGAGGAAACCGATGAACTATAAAGCTCTTTTTCACAGATATCCAGATGAATTTATAGATATCCCACTGACTTCTAATGACGTTCCCACTTCCCAGCAGGTGATTGAATATTGTGAAAGCAATGACTCCATATCTTAGCGAGAAGGGTGTTGACATATTGAACAATTTCCATTGCGCTTGGTGAGGAAACGTGTGGAAGTTTTGGAATAAAGTGTAGCCTTTTATATTATCTCTCCCTGTTATTTGAGCGGGGAATCTATACATGGATCGCTATGTATTTAGCAAAATTCCAAAACCATCACGGAATATCTGAACTCGTATACCGTATTCCCAAATGTGCATCGAGATGCTCATAAAAGTTATGAACTTATAAATGTCCTCACAATATACTATAGCAAACGCTTTTTTGACGCAATTAATAACGTCATTAATATCTCTTACAAGAGGTATTTACCCTAAATAATACAAACGAATAATGTGCAACCCTCTGTAAATCGACTGCCGGGTTAAGGTCTCCCCGCGTCTTTTGGGCCGTGCGGGTTTGTTTGACCATACTTCACCACGCTCGCCCTCCCGTGTTGCTTTGCTTTGGGGGCACGGGTTGTGGGTTGCTTTGGCCCACGACTGATAGCAATGACTCACCACTCGTATGATGGCGTTAATCGTGGCCGTGAATCGAACTCGGGTGGCCGAGTTGGTAGCAAAGATAAAGAGCCCCTTGTGTAGCCTTTCACAGACTGTAGGGGCAAGTGCTGTTAGCGAGCACCTATGAAGGCCAGAAAGGCACACGAGGGGGTGGGTGACCAGCACCACGCCCGACCGCCTTTGTCTCCCCAGTAGCGATGCTTACACACCGCACCAGGTCCTCATTTGAGGCCGAGTCGACCTAGGGGAGGCCCAAGACCGGTTCAGATAATCGTCGCTGGTGTTGGCCGTGAGCGGGAATCGAACTCAGATCGCTGTGCTCGTGACGCAGCGCGCTGACCGCTACACACGGACATCCATGATGCATTGTGTTCCACCTTTCTCCCCGTTTAATCAAGTAGACAATACGCTTCCCTCCGACATCTCTCCATCCACATGAACAAATAAATACACAATATTTTGATTTAAAGCTTTCGTGACTGCAAGGAGAATTGTATTGTTTTATATTTTCATTATTTTATTGTTTCCCTTCTAAGTGACTTTACCGAAAGAACCAAGAATACACTATTTGTTTAGGCATTCCATCAGCTACACGGCCTCCTGGGAGTACATACATTCAGCAGCATTGGTTCAACACAGATAAACTTTGCACGTTCAGTGGCTCATCAACATAGCTCAGCCCGCCACGATCCAATTCTTGTTAACTACCGGCCGTCTCTAGGCAAGGGACTAACCCCTCTGCTAAATTGGAGTCCCCAGCCCGACGCCCGTATCTCTTCCCTTAACACAAACGCATAGAAGTACCGTACAGTATTTAATACGCATGCCATCAGCCACACGGTGCATACTGAATCCACGTTCATGCCCCCCCCCCACTCACCCCGACTATCCTTCTAGCGTGTGTCTCACGCTAGATGATGGGGGGGCCCATGGTAAAACTGCCGTTACCGCCGGTTAACTGCCAAACGCATACCACTTAAGTAATACCTGGGCTCGCTGGGCACTCCCTGCGCCGCTAACCTGCCTCGGCATAATGATCGCGTGGCTTTTGTTTGCCCGGCTCTCCCGCTGTGGCAACACCGCCTGCCCTGCGGGTGGCTGACGGAGTGGGTGGTGGGGGAGTCCTGGGCCGGGCCGCTGACCACTGTTTGTTCTCCGGGGCCTCTAATGGAGCGGAGAAGGACGACTTAACGAGAACGTCGTTCGTGCTTCGGTCCACGCGAAAAACAATGGGGGGGGAGGGGGGGTAGATAAAGGCGCATCCCTGCAATAGCCCGGCTCACGCCACTGCCGGCCGTATTTTTGGCCTACTCTTCCACGCTGGCCGTGCGTGTTGCATGCGGTGGGAGTTACCCACACTTTAAAGCCACCACGTGCCACCTGCCGATCGACAAACTCTTCTTTTGCTTGCGTACGGCAGTCGCACTCTGTTCGGCAGCGAAATGCCAACGTCGCGTTCTGCTGGCCACGACGAGAGTGGGCTTCGGGAGAAAGTTCGTTTAGTTTTTGCAATGCCTCCCTTGACGGAGCACATGCTACAGTGGTTTACTCTGTGGTATGTATGGTCCATAGTTTGGGTGGCATGGCTGCAAGTCGCACTGCGGCTTATCTTTAATGTGTTTTATGAATATGGGCGTTCGTCGGTCTGTTGATGTTCTGATACGGTTGATGGTTCCACCGGTGTCTTCGAGGAGGAATGGTAAAGCCAAGGAGGTGCGATGTTTGGGGTGAGATTCTATGATGGTGACAGCAGCGCGATCCCAGAAGGTTGGATCGCGACTTGAGTCAGTGGCGAGGTGACATTGCTACGGTTTTGGTTGATGATGGGTAGGTGGCAGTCATGTGAAGGAAAACGTGTACACTCTCTTGTAGTTTGCGCGATATCTCGGTGGATATTTAGTGGCAGATTGTTTGCCAGAACAGGGAGCCAGGGGATCGGCGTCGGTTTCAGTGTTCCGATTATGATGGGCGTTGCGTTATTTAATGGAGCACCTCACAGTTTTTTGGGTACGAGCTCCCGGACAAGGCTGGAGCGTCGTACTCTACACATTCATACTGCTCGGTGGACAGAGGTGGCGAGATTTAAGAAAATTGTACCATCCTTTGAAACTGCCGCACCACAAGATCGGACCGGCGCGCTAACCGTCACACCACGGCATAATCTATGAATGAATGTATTACAGTCATTGTGATTTCTCCTTATTTATTCAAAGTAGTTGAGAGCCCATTTAGGACGCAAGTCTCTCTTTGCATTCAATGGAGACCGAGCCAAGTGCAGTGACGCGTGTTCATTTCGTTTACCAAAATGTTCTTCAACAAAGTCTTTTTTTACATCTTTATTTTAGTCAACGGTGACTGTGGACGAAAATTGTCGGGCGTGACCATGACTACGGCTGCCGTCCATTATCACCACCATCACAACCATCACTCTACCATCACCACCATCACCATTAAACTACCGCTGCCCACCAAAGACCAACACCGTGAGACTGAGATGACGTTAACTTAGTCTGCACGAAGAAGCAGGCTCAGATAATTTAGTAAAATTTTCATATTCTTGGTTCTTTCGGTAAAGTCACGTTGAAGGGAAACAATAAAATATATATAAAACAAAATATTGTTTTATTTCCCTTCAACGTGACTTTACCGAAAGAACCAATATGAATCACTGCAGTCACGAAAGCTTTAAATCAAAATATTCTTGGTTCTTTCGGTAAAGTCACGTAGAAGGGAAACAATAAAATAATAAAATATAAAACAATAAATTAACAATTTTATTGTTTCTCAGCTAGACTAAGACTCTGACTGAACGAAAGTGTTGACTAGATCAAGACATATTCTTGGTTCTTTCGGTAAAGTCACGTAGAAGGGAAACAATAAAATAACAATTGTATTGTTTTATATTTTTATTATTTTATTGTTTCCCTTCTACGTGACTTTACCGAAAGAACCAAGAATACGCCTTGATCTAGTCAACACTTTCGTTCAGTCAGAGTCTTAGTCTAGCTGAGAAACCGAAAGAATCCCTGCAGTCACGAAAGCTTTAAATCAAAATTTAGATCAAGACAGGTTACAGGCCAATACCAGAGCTTATGAAGACAATTGCCCTGCGACATTGAGAAACGAAATGTATTGCAAGCATGTCTAAACACGTGGCAGCACCTGCTGTGTTATTACGTTGCATTCTAGCATCGGTGTGTATATATATCCGTGGTGCTATCCCTCTGGCGACTTACTTATGTAACGAATAGACTTTCCATAAGAATTCGCGCTCACTACGTTCTTAATTAACACTGCGCTGCAACGGAAACCTAGAAGGGGAATCCAGAGGTCCAGGGCATGCCCCTTCGACATTCAAAATAAGCTGCTTGGCTCAATGGGCCTTTGGGGTGAAACAAACTGAGAATCGGGGAGAGGATGGAGGAACAGAATGATTGACTGACTTTCAGCCGAGGCCTCAGTTTATGCTTCGGGGGCCCTGAGAAAGCTGGGGCAGTGTTTTTAGGAAGTTGACAAATTTGAAAGTCTGAATTGGTGTTGTACCCTTTAAGGAGATCAAATTAAAAAAAAACAGAAACACATTAAATGTCATCGCCTGTCCTGCATGGGTGACATTGAGTTGACATGTTCTGTTTTTAATGGTAATAATAACCTCCATGTTATAAAAGCGCCTTACATTTTTAAGTATCTCAAAGCGCTGAATTTAAAAATAAAACTACACTCACAAGTACTATATAGATACGATCTACGTGAAATAGAAAGCTGATAATATCAACTACACTCGAAATTCTAATAAAATAAAGAACTTATAAAAGCGATTAACAATAATAATAATAATTACAGAGTAATCTAATCAGACATTTTTGTTATTTTAAGGGGAAAGCCTGCAGTACAAATATGTGAGTTTTAAGACGTGATTTTAAAAAGTGAAAGAGACTCAGAATTCCTAATGGACCGATGAAGGGGATTTCCTTGGCCCATTCGGGTTTCAAATAAATACGTTTAAAAAACATAGCGTAAATGTGTGGTTGACGTCCAAGCAAAAGAGTAAACTTAATACACGGTCGGTATACATTTTAAGATTTGTGTGCTTGATTTTATAAAAAAAAAAAACTTGTACATTTTTATTTGAGACTGTAGCAGCAACAATTAAGATGAGCGTGGAAAATTACAAGTCGCATTTTAGTCCATCGGTCTCAGAGCCTTTCGAGAACAAATTGTCTCCGAGCAGCAGTTGTTTTAGCAGAACATTTTTTTAGGACCCCGGTTTTGGTTTTTGCAGTCTCATCAGCAGGGTTGTGACCTCTTAATTTTTGTCTGTGTTAATAGGTATTGAATAACGAACTACAGCCGTTTGTCAATCCACCGCTAGATGGGTGCCTCCATAAGGTGAGAGCAAGTTGTTTTTATTGGACGATGTCTTACTTTAATGAGGTGAGAAACATTGCATGGCAGGACCCTCCTAAATTATTATTTTTTACGTGTCCCCTTATCTGTTATGTTCACAGACAGCGTCTCACGAGCTGACATTTCCCTCCACTTGGCATGTTTGTACCGAGGGTAGAATAGGACTTTAAAAACTATCTTTGGCATCAATGCGTCAACCCACGCACACCTCAGCCAGTTGTGTCATTGCAAGAGTCCCTCGCAGTGGCCGCCGTGGTTGAGGATGGCGCTAAAATGTAAAACACCCCGTTGCCAGGTAGGAAATATTCCCCTCTAGTACCTGAGTAGCGAGGCTAAGATGCTTGCAGCGATCTCCCCCTTTCCACCCAACCCATGAGCTGTGTTTTAGCTTCTGCCCGTGGAATTTCTATGCCGCCTTCCCTTGTTGTTGTGCGCGTTCTGTACCGGGCTCTTATCAGAATAAAAAAAAAATGCAATGGATAAATATCGTCCATGAGCCCTTTGGAAGTGGCAGGCCTCGTGTGGCTGTGGGCCATATGAAAGGAAGCCACGGGCCGCATCTGACTTGCAAAGCCATAGGTTTCCCAACCTGTTGTCCCCTTGACTGGTGTCAACCTTCATCTTTGGCTGCTGCCCACCCGCCCCCACCCCCAGACACGTCCGCCGTTCCCCGTTGTGCAGTTGGGTGCAGCGCGTCGAGTGGCAGCGATGAAGAGGGCTCTCTGTGCCCCGCGTCTCCATCGGCCACGTCCAGCGGGGAGCGCTCGACGCCGCCTCCGTGCGGCGAGGAGGCCGCGGTGAGCCCGGGGGCGGCCGCGGTGAGCCCGGGGGCGGCGGTGAGCCCAGCCACGGCGAGGCCTGCACCCGGTGGGGAGCGGGTCGGCGGCACCGGCGACGGTGCCGGTGGCGGGGCCCGGGATCCGCACTACGTGCGGTCGCGCATCAAGGTGAGGCTCGCTCGCTGTGGGACGGGAAGATCCGTCGGTAGATCGTTGATGTTGATCGTCGTGAAAGTTTTTTAAAAAATCGTCGAGTCTGTAAACGCAAGCTCGAAAGCGTTCATGCGTTGGCTCCTGTGCGCGTCCGTCCGTCTCTTGCATCCGTCCGCTATGGAGTTGGCACAATAACTCTTGTAAAGGTGATCTAATACGAACCAAACTTTCGTATAAAGTTGCGTAACTGTTTTTCAATTGTCGCTTATAGCGAGGAATATTTTTTGCTCCATTTAGAGTCGACTGGAAATATATCGACGCCAGCAATGGGAGTTAATCCTATTTTATTTAATCTACCTAAGAGCACGCAGCATACGCTTACTTAATCCGTTGTGCTATATATGCCCAGTGGATGCACCATGAGGTCCCATCTCTTTTGCAATATATATTTAAGTAAAGGTTTTATCAGGGCAATCGTTTCTTTCGTCAATCAAATTTAATTTTAACGAGCATGGGGAGATGCTCATCGGCGATGGAACGATGCGTAAATCCACCAATCAAAATGTATTCTGAAACTCGCGATTCATGCATTTAATTGCAATTGTAAGAATGCTGTAAATGTTTTTCGATTCCCATGTTTCCACTACATTCATTCATTTATTTTAATTTTTATTTAAAGGTTTCGTGACTGCAGGGATTCATGTTCTTGGTTCTATCGGTAAAGTCACGTAGAAGGGAAATAATAAGATATTGTTCGATTTTTTTATTATTTTACTATTTTCCATCTACGTGACTTTACCGAAAGAACCAAGAATATAATTTATTTTATTCACACTTTCACTATAATAACTCAAGCAGCACTCACAACTGGAACGGGTAAGCGATCTACACGTAAATAATCTGCTATGGTGCCCTATTGTAAATTGGCCATCCGATTCCAACAAACATGCATGGTGTACTACGTCCCGTTAACAAGAGTCTACAGGCAATTCGTTGCAGTACATTTTTGCTGAGGGGTGGTGGTTCATCTGATTCGTCCAGTCTAAGTAAAGATTCTTCTTCTGGTTCGCGCACCGTTCTATAAACCCAGCGGTCACAGCTTACCACCCGTGCTGCGTGGTATACCGGTGAGCGTAGCGAAGTATTTTGAAACCCAACAATCCCCATGAATAATTGAGCATATGGGGAAGCCTTCATCCAGCAGTTGATAAAGAGTTGTCAAATTATTCTGCATTTTATCCATCGTTTTTGCAGCCAAGTATTTTCTGTCGTCAAATATATACGCGCTCAGACCCAGAGGTGGGGCGGTGTTGCCAAAACAGTGCCGAGTTTTTGTTTTGATCGGGTTCTTGCCCTTGATAAGGGCCCGCGGCCGAGCGTGCATACATGGGCGTGTGCCGTTGCATCGTTCCCCGTCAGGTGTGAAGCGTCCGTGGTGCCGGCTAATCTTACAGATCCACCGCGGGCTACCATTCATCTGTGGCAGCACGGCCTCAGGGGCTACCGTGCTGAATACCCCCCCCGCCCCCCCCCCCCCATACATGTTATCTAGGGTTGCCACCTGTCCTGATTTTCCCAGGATCATCCTCTCTTTGAGGTAGTTGTCTGGCATAATGTATACTTTTTTCCTGGGACGTTAAAAGGCCGAGATTTTATTTGTTGCGTAACAATGCACTATTCATAACAACGCATTCATGACCTCTTCTCATAAGTCGCACTTTTGTCCTACCTCAGAAGTGAAAACCCTTTTGCCTGCATCACACAAAGTGGCTCAATTGAGCATGGGGTGATATTTGTCTCCTGTTCACAACCCTGAGCCAGTGGTGAAAATTCCACATCCCTATGTCGGTGATTTTTTTTTTCCATATGACAACCACTGTTGACTTACCCAGAAAGTGGTACTCATTTAATCTAGCCCAGAGGGATGATGGCCCAAGTCTTTTCTTATCTTACATCGATTTATAGCACTCCTTAATAGAGCCACGAGCAGGATTTCAACTCACAATCTTCCGATGGCGAGATGCACACCCTACAGCTGTGCTTCTTCCACTTGCTGTGATAACTGGTCGCACATCAAAGACAAAGATCCCCCATATAGCCTCATTCCGCACCTCCGATTAGCATGGTGGGCTACGTACGGTTAGAAATAAGTTCAACATACAATGACTGTAATACAACCATTTTACTCATCATAATGCAACGTACCAGTAAGACGTTACAATTGTGATTATAATGGCACAAGAGGGGGTAAGCGGCCAACTCCACGCCTGGCCGCCTTTGGCTCCCCAGGGGCCGCACCAGGTACTCATTTGAGGCCGAGTCAACCTCGTGGAGGGCCAGGACCGGTTTAGATTATTGTCACTGGTGGTGGCCGTGAGCGGGAATAAAACTTGGGTCATTGGGTTTGTAGTGCAGCACGCTAACCACTACATTACCGCTCGCCGTTGTAAAATACGTTCACATTCACAAAACTCGCACCGTCTGCTTGTTCAGGCGACAGATTGGCCCAGTGGTAACACTTGTGCATCACAGCAAGAAGGGCCTGGGTTTGATTCCCGACTCGGGCACCTTTCTGCATGAAGTTTGTATGTTCTCTCCCCTGTTCTTCATGGATTTCGTCTGGGTTCCTCCCATGGATAATAAAACACATTCTAATGGCACTGGCCAAACGTCGCAATGCTGAAAAAATGACCTGCAAATTACACAATTGGGATCACACGTAGAGTAACATCGCCCCCTACTGCGAAATCTTGGCAGGACCCTCCTGAAATAGGCTTGAGGCTCTCCTGGGAAAACAAGTGTAATAACAATAAAACAATGTTAATGTGTATGTACATATGCTGAACTTCTTTCGCACCGTACGTAGCCAATCGTGCTAATCGGAGATGCAACAAACTAAAGACAAAAAGCAGTTCTAAAGAAATTAGATGTCCAAATTCACAGAACCGTATGGTGATCAACAATGAAAATCTGCCAAATGTCTCCGTTTAATACGACTGTGTAGGGTTTTCACGGTTGTACCGTGCATCTCCCTCCCTCCGTGTTTACGGGGTCGTACCGCCGGCGTTCCTCATCGCAAGGCCTGCGGGCCCACGAGCGCCCGACCCCTCCCCGCGGACAATACACAACCGTGGAAACACTCCTTGCAGGCGGCGTGGCGAATCCTCACGCTGTTGCCTTATCGACGAAAGTGACCCCCCCCACCACCCCCCCCCCCCTCTGAAAATGAGCGAAGGACGCTGACCCACACCAACCCTTCTCTCGTGACTCCTGACTAACTTTTTTCCTCCCCCCCGCCCCCGCCCCCGCCCCCCGCCCCCGCCCCCAACCCCCTCTCATGTCCAGATCACGAGCGGGGGCCAAACCGTCGGGCTTCACGTGCAGCGTGTGCAGCAAGGCGCTGCAGTCCCAGCGCATGCTCACACGCCACATGAAGTGTCACAGCGACTTCCGCAAGCACAGCTGCCGCTTCTGCGGCAAGGGCTTCAACGACACCTTCGACCTCAAGCGCCACATCCGGACGCACACTGGTGGGTGCACGTCGGCAACCGTGGTGCATTCACCGTCATCGTCGTCGTCATCCGTCATCAGACGTGATCGATCCAGTGCTGGGTGAAGGCCTTCTCTCTCACGGTCTTGCGGGCGGATTTCAACCCAGTGCGTCTCCGCGGTTGGCTACGTACGGTGCCAGATTGGTCAAACATGCGTACGTACACACATACATAACCGGGTGCGTTTTTCCCTCCTTTGGCTGCCACTCTGTCAGTCTCGACCACCGGCCACCATCTACTCTCGCAAATGACGCCAGGGGGATCTTTAACGTCCACTGTGAGTGAAGCAGGACGGCACGAAGAATGATCGTGGTCGTTACCCACCGCAGTAGTAACCAGGTCGGCCGCTGGATTCGAACAGTGAGCCTCGACGACAAACAGCAGACGGAATCTGTATTTATCCTGGAGGAAATCCGATGAGCTACGAAGCTTTTTTTCACAGATGTCCAGTAGGGGGCGGGTTGGCAAGTTACAACAACAAACTATACAAAAACGAATGACATGATACGCAAACACCGATTGGAGAGCAAAACAGGGAAAAGGTAAGCAAGGCACTAAAAATGAACAAATAATAATAAATAAAATACACGTGTATATTTGCACGAGTACAGAAATTCCTGCCGATTTTTCAACACTAAATGCAAGCTTGGGCAAGGCAGCGAATCCACGATTTTGTTACTCTCCCATTTGCCGAACGGCAAAGTGCGTACGGCGACAGTGGGGGAAAAAATATCAGGCACATTAGTCGGCAACTGTGAGAATGAACACCAATCTGCGCGAAGACACAAACTACTCGGCGAAAGATAACAGCGGTTTTAATTTACATGGCGGGTAAATGCAATTGGGGAAACACGTGGGGGGAAAGACCACAGAGAGAATGACACTGTGGAAAGATCTGGGACGAAGCAACGGCATCAATTCCTCGTTGAACAAGGTAGACGCATTCCTGAAAAGTGCCGCTTTAAGGAAAAAGTACCGGGACTACTGTTTATGCAGACAAAACCTAATCAAATGTATCTCCTTAAAACTAGTCGCCTCCTGATCGAACACAATAGTGATTCCAGAGATCCTATGTCGAGGCATCTCTGGTACTCTTCTTTCGGGAATGGCTTTCAGGTCCCGAGTTGCATTTTGGATGATGGTTGGCACATCCTGAAATCTCTTTGCTTTTAGGGTGCATTTTACCATAACAGGAGACCCGAGGACTTAACATTTAATTTAAATTATCCATAATCCAACTTAGTTTTGTCCCGCGTATCGTTCGGCAAGAATCCACTTCCCGAAGAATCTCGCAGCAACGTGCAGCGAGCTATGTCGGGACATCAAGCCGAACAATAAGCGGCACAACTTAGCCAGATACGCACCGCAGATCTGTGCAGCACAACCGCGAAAAACCCACGCGAGCTGTATTTGAACCCGTTCCGATGACATTCGTGCACGTCATCGGTTTTCCTTCCGATTAAGTTACGTTTACGTCATCGGGACGGAATTGGAAAAGGCCATGCGGGAGGAGGGGCGTGTGGCAGTTTGGCGCCAGCTATCGCAGAGTGCGGTCATGTCGCTCCAGATCTCTGCGGTGAGTACAGTACAATGTCTTTAAAAACAGCAGCGCCACGCCTCTCTAAATCAAGTTTACGCTGCACCGCTTGCGCGTTCCGGGATTCGGCGGTGAACGGGACGGCCCCTGCCCTCCCCCCCCCGCCACCCTTCCCGTGCAGGCGTGCGGCCCTACCGGTGCGAGTTGTGCGACAAGGCGTTCACGCAGCGCTGCTCGCTCGAGTCGCACCTGCGCAAGATCCACGGCAAGGAGCAGGAGTACGCCTACAAGGAGCGGCGCGCCAAGCTCTACGTGTGCGAGGACTGCGGCCACACGGCCGAGGACGCCGAGGCGCTGCAGAGCCACGCGGAGAGCGAGCACCCCGACAGCCAGGCCACGGCGCACAAGCCGGCGCCCCCCGGGCCGCGCGCGGCTCAGGGTGGGGCCAGGTCCCAGGGGGGAGCCACGGCGGGCGGCGGAGGCAGCGACGGAGGGAGCAGCGGCCGCAGCAAAGAGTCCTTATCACCGTCTTCGTCGTCAAATTCGTCGTCGTCGTCGTCGCCGTAGCAGTCGCCGTAGCGCGGTTTCAAGGGCGTCCAGCGTGGGTGGTGCGGGCGTAGGGGTCGTGCCGAGAGGCGCCCGCGCCTGCCATCTGGTTTATTATAAAGCCATGCACGGAAAGTGCTTCCTACTGTGGAGGGGGTACCCCAGGGTGACTCGTAGACACGGGGAATGATTGACAGATTTACCAGATGGCGTGCCTGCGAAATGTTTAACTTCTGAAGAGTGGATTTTTGTTGTCGCTAACGTTTTCGATGGATTCATCCATCGCCTTTTTTATTTCATTGCATTTTGTCCGAATAGCCCTTAACTGCTGAAGCCTTAAAGCCCAAGATGGACTCTGCCACATTTTGTTTATGAAGGGCAGTCAGTTTAGATAAAGCAAAGTGTTAAATACCGAGGCTTTCCATGCCATTTGATCAGAAGATGAAAGGCCATTTGCAAAAAAAAAAGGATGCAGTGAGTTAATCGGTTAATTAATTTATTTAGAGGTCTCTAGCTGTTTAAACTTCAGCGATGTCAGTCAGCTTTGTAAAATAAATCCTCTTATGCCAACGAAGTGTACATATGTTTAAACTCGTGCAGTTTGTGTAAAATCAAGCCATTTATTATCATGTTATAGACCGCGATATGGTATTACAATTCTATGCAATATGAACCAAGTTGATACGTGCATATTTAATTAGTTCTGCATAGCAGGGAATGGTATTTTTATACTGGCGTGTAAATATTTCTCCTTACCCTTTATCTAATATAAGTTTATAATTCTCAAGTTGTTTGGTGGGTGGTTTACGGGACGTGGTCTGGTACGGGTAACACTGCTGACTTTCTATTAAGGTAAATGCTGTAGATATTAAAACATGAATACAAGATCGTATTAAACATCGTTTATTTTCCTTTTATTTAAACACCTCTCCACTTTGTGACCATTTCAAACATTTACATAGGCGTCAAGTTGACCTTTTTTCTAGATTTGAAGTTTTCATGACTGCAAGGATCCATAACTCTTTGGTTCTTTCGGTTAAGTCATGTAGGTGAAAGAAAAAAAAACACGACGTTTCGGGCACAACACAATGGAATGGGCCCAGCAGTTGTTTCTAGCTGTGGGGCCCAGCAGTTGTTTCTAGCTGTGGAGCCCAGCAGTTGTTTCTAGCTGTGGGGCCCAGCAGTTGTTTCTAGCTGTGGGGCCCAGCAGTTGTTTCTAGCTGTGGGGCCCAGCAGTTGTTTCTAGCTGTGGGGCCCAGCAGTTGTTTCTAGCTGTGGGGCCCAGCAGTTGTTTCTAGCTGTGGGCCCAGCAGTTGTTTCTAGCTGTGGGGCCCAGCAGTTGTTTCTAGCTGTGGGGCCCAGCAGTTGTTTCTAGCTGTGGGCCCAGCAGTTGTTTCTAGCTGGGGGCCCAGCAGTTGTTTCTAGCTGTGGGGCCCAGCAGTTGTTTCTAGCTGTGGGGCCCAGCAGTTGTTTCTAGCTGTGGGCCCAGCAGTTGTTTCTAGCTGGGGGCCCAGCAGTTGTTTCTAGCTGGGGGCCCAGCAGTTGTTTCTAGCTGTGGGCCCAGCAGTTGTTTCTAGCTGTGGGGCCCAGCAGTTGTTTCTAGCTGTGGGGCCCAGCAGTTGTTTATAGCTGTGGGGCCCAGCAGTTGTTTCTAGCTGTGGGGCCCAGCAGTTGTTTCTAGCTGTGGGGCCCAGCAGTTGTTTCTAGCTGTGGGCCCAGCAGTTGTTTCTAGCTGTGGGGCCCAGCAGTTGTTTCTAGCTGTGGGGCCCAGCAGTTGTTTCTAGCTGTGGGCCCAGCAGTTGTTTCTAGCTGTGGGGCCCAGCAGTTGTTTCTAGCTGTGGGCCCAGCAGTTGATTCTAACTGTGGGGCCCAGCAGTTGTTTCTAGCTGTGGGGCCCAGCAGTTGTTTCTAGCTGTGGGGCCCAGCAGTTGTTTCTAGCTGTGGGGCCCAGCAGTTGTTTCTAGCTGTGGGCCCAGCAGTTGTTTCTAGCTGTGGGCCCAGCAGTTGTTTCTAGCTGTGGGGCCCAGCAGTTGTTTCTAGCTGTGGGCCCAGGAGTTGTTTCTAGCTGTGGGGCCCAGCAGTTGTTTCTAGCTGTGGGGCCCAGCAGTTGTTTCTAGCTGTGGTGATCCCACCTGATGACGGGCGCTTGTGTTGCGCCCAAAACGTCGTGATTATATTATTTATTTTTATTTTATTTTTCCCCTACGTGACTTTACCGAAAGAACCAAAGAGTATGTTAAGTTGACTTGCTTGGATTGTTCAAAATGAAACTCGTCTTACTGGAATCCATAAAAAAAGCATTGAAGATACAAAAAACTATTAAAGTACATATGTACGAGTACAAAGGCAGTAGGGTATAATTTGCGACTGCTATTATACAAGCCTTCGTTGAAATGTTTTTATATACATTGGTTAGCACACACTGGACTCGCACTACAGAACGTCATCGGTTCAATGTCCAAGCGCGACAGTTGAAATATTGGGACAGGTGTCTCAAACGGTGCGTTTGCGTGCGTGTGCGCGCACACCTGTGCTTGCCGACAGCACTTGCCGCAACAGCCTGCCAGGTATACACGGCTATGCGCGGAGAATCCTCGGCGTTTGTGCATCACAGCTTCGCCCGTTTCGGATGTCCCTCTCTCGCACGAGAGTGGAACTCCTGCAGACGCAGCAGCCAGCGCTGCCAGTACTCCATGCAGAGCCACGGATCCAGCACGTGCGTATGCGCCGGCGAGCCGTCCCTGTAAGCCACCACCACCATGCCCTTCTCCACCTGCGGGGGGAAGCGTCGGGGAAAACGCTCGCGTTGTAGCGATGAAACACTTTTGATCCGCAATCGATTCTTGGAGCGAGGCCACGTTAACGGTCTGGCAAGAAAAGACGTATGCCGTTAAGACCCTCCCTGCCATCTGACACAGTTCAAACAAATTAAGCATTTAATGCGCCATTTGTTATCAAGCTCGGAAGAAAATGTATCGTGACAACTTTGGCAGATATGTTGTCTTGTATGAAGCTACGTCAAAGATCCAGGATGTCAATCAGAATCCAGACTTTTTATCGTCTGGATTAACCTCAATAAATCTGACCTCACGCTGGCCTAGCCAACTCCTGTGATGCTATGCCAGTCTAACAAACAAAGAAATGTAACGAGTGGTTCTGTACGTTGTCTTGAGATAGTCGCGTTTAGACGGCTATAAAACGTGGGTTGTCTATTGCTTCTCAACGCATTTGTCCTCGGTTGTATTTAACGAGTGACAATAACACTTGCCAGCATCCGGTCATCCTCGCAGCAGCGGCGGCTTATGGCTCGCCATCGAACAAAGACGGTCACCGCATCGCGCGCTTTCAGATGCGCTTCTGCGGCTGTCTGGCACGGCTCTTCCTTTCTGATATTAGGAAGCCACTGGAGCTATGCACTTTTAAATCTAAATTGAACACGAAGTTCTTTAGGACTGCTTTGTGTTATTTTTGTTGTCCCTTTCCCCCCGCACCTGCAATAGCACGGTTGGCTACGTACGGCGTTAAAGAAGATCAACATACGACATACATGTAACAAACATCATGCACGCAGGAACCGGTGACGTACATGGGCCACGACGGGAGCACAGATTCAGATAGCAGTTCTGCCCGAGGGGCGGAGGTGGTTGACTGTTGAATCAACTAATGTACAAGCACCTTACTCGGAAAAATATTGAAAAGATTCCTTTAGTTTGCCCAAGCGCCCACATGCTGCCGTTACCTGCAGGGGAGCGTAGTTCGCGTCATAATTGACTGCCCCGGCGTAGGCCACCACCTGCAGCGGGTTGTCGTATGTGTCTCGCAGCTTGGGCTTGGGCTTTTCGGACGTCTTCCAGTCGATCAGGCAGAGCTGGCCTCTGCAACGCCGGCAAACCGCGCGGACAGCCGATGCAAAGCAATATTGTATCTCTACTATTCGCACGTTAAATGGCTATAGAATTAATGCAAATCTCAGCTGGCCATGTGGACCACGATTCGGAGCACTGAGCCAACACTGTAGAGGGCTTTGGCTCGGAATAATATTTTTAGCGTCTCTTGCGCGGCCAAAAGCTCGTGTGATGGAATGTAAATGGGGAAACGCCATTGCTCCTGACGCAATCATCTGGCTCAATTTCCTCAATGTAAAATTACAGTTGTTTCTGGACATCAACGTCAGCCGTATAAACTAATACCTAAACGAAATTATTTTTGTTTTACCAGGTATGGCACACTGAGCTGTATAGTTCTTTTTCAGAAATGACCTGGCCACAAATGACAGCTCAACTAAGTGGCTTAGCATGTGGAAGTTTATAGCAGCCAAATACTCTAAACGCCCGTTTCTAAATGCGGAGGGAAAAACCTGAGGACCCGGTGAAAAATCCACGTAAACACGGGGAGAGGGAGAGAGAGACACAAACTCGAGGTGCCGGGATCGGGATCGAACCCATGCCATCCTGCATGCCAGGCGAGGGCTTTAACGTCTCGCCACCGTGGCGCCCATGTCAAGAAGACCGTCAGACGCCCATGCTGGCTGCACCTGTACTCGGCCAGGCAGTCGATGTGGCCCATGTACTGGAGCCGCGTGTGCTGCACCTTCCCCTCGACGGCGCGAACACGCCCCAGGTCCGCCAGGACGGGCTGTACGCTCCGCGCGTAGCCCCGCAGCAGCTCGTTGTCTTCCATCGACTCTTCCTCACCCGCGAACGCCGTTTGCTCCATCACCGTCGCCAGCTGCAGGTCCACGCCGGGGTTCGACAGCCGCTGTGTCAGGGCTTCTTGGATGGCGGCGTGCAGCTTGCGGCCCTGTCGGAGCACGCCTGCAACAAATGCAACAACGTCGATTGCTTCAACCTGGAGAGCAACTCTTTGAGACAACGTCTTCAGGAAGATCCTGCATAAAGGATGCTTGGCATATTTACGGTAATTTAGTATTCCATGGCAATGTGGGAGGATAATTTCTGCTGCTGCTGCTACTGATAATGTCCAACATGCCTGAATATCATTGCTCTTACACGAGGGAAATGCATTGAAGATTTTTTGCTATAAAAATTAGAAATGCTTTAATGTCATTGATATCAGTGAGCAGTTTAAACTATGGTACAGTACACCTGAACGCAATGACAAAAAGTATTTAAAACATTGGCAGGTTTTAATTTACAAGGGGGCACAATACAATATTGTATTTAGACAATACAAATCTGAGATTCTCACCATTATCACGCAATCTCAAAATTACACAATATTACAATCACAGTCCCACGATCTTACCGTGAAAGATTTTCATAACTTAACCGTTAACAATCTGACCACCAGTCTCACTGCAGTACTGTATTACAAACAAAGACCCCTCCGTGTAGCCTTAACAGACTTATGTGGCAAGTGCTGTTAGCGAGCACCTATAAAGGCCGGCACGGTACACACGAGGGGGTGGATGGCCAGCACCACGCCCGGCCGCCTTTGTCTCCCCAGTGGGGATGTTTACTACACACCGCACCAGGTACTCATTTGAGGCTGAGTCGACCTAGGTCAGGAGGCCCAGGACCGATTTCAGATAACCGTCACTGATGTTGGCCGTGAGCTGGAATCGAACTCGGGTCGCTGGGTTGGGAGCGCAGCGTAGCGCTAACCACTACACTGCCGCTCCCCACTCACCTTCTTCACGCACTCGCTCCCAGCGCGAGGACGACTCATTACATCTCGCGATCGCAAAGCCGAACCAAATAGTTCCGCTGTTCGATTTGCAGCAAGTGCGAGTTCGCCTTTTTAAGTCGACGTTAAAACAAATATTACATCGAAGCTGGCTCGTTAAGTGCGGGCGTTCGTAAGTGCGGGGGTTCGTAAGTCGAGGTCCGTAAGTGCGAGCGGTCGTAAGTGCGGGGGTTCGTAAGTCGAGGTCCGTAAGTGCGGGCGTTCGTAAGTGCGGGGGTTCGTAAGTGCGGGGGTTCGTAAGTGCGTGCGTTCGTAAGTAGAGCAGTGCATGTTTACCGAGCGAATAGCGGTCAAAGCCCTCTTTGCCGAGCTCCAGAATCATGCGCCGCTTCCACCTCTCGAGCACATAGCGCTGCTGCAGGGGCATGGTGCCCTGCAGCACTCGCGTCACGCTGGAGAGACCTCCCGCACGCGGCCCCTCGACCCGTATAGGTGCCGGGGCCGCCGCCACCACCTCCTCCTCATCACCATCATCATCACCACCACCACCACCCTCATCTTGATGACGCTCGTCGTTGAGGAACGGGAAGGGGACCTCTGGCGCCTCCCGCTGCTCGTCGGCAGGTGACCGAAAGCGAAGGACGGGAGACCTGGACGGCGCTCGGCGCTGAGTTTGTGAGGCGCTCCCCTGTGCGCATCTCGCGGCCACGAGGTCCTGCACCAGGCCCTGGTACTCGAGCTGCAGCCGTTCCGTCTCGGCGCTCGCGTAACGAGACGGAGAGGTGGCGACCTTCTTTCTGCTGCTGCTGTAACCGCACGTGGAGGAGGTGGGCGAGGCGAAGAGACGCCATAGGCGGCGATGCGCTTTGGATAAAACGAACATCATCCCTCGCTGTCTCCTCCTCCACCCGTAGTTGTGTGGCTGTTTCCTTCTCTCCTCCGGGCGTCACGGTGGATTTACACCGCAGCCCGGCCTCCGAGGGGCGCACTCGGTTGAGAATCTCCCGTTGCGCAGTGCACAGCTGTTAATCTCTTGAGCCACGGTGGCTGGAGGTTGAGTGCGCGCCTGATGAGGTTTTAAGGTCTGTGTCTCGTTACGTGAAGGGTTAAATACTGGCTCACGTGAAGGGTTAAATAATGGCTCACGTGAACCCTCGGGAAGTAGATGGGCGTTACATACGGTGGCACAGGACACGGCGCTGTTATGTCATCCACAGCTGTGCAAAGCGGTGAAATAAACAAGAAAACATAGATCGCTGCTGTACATTACACGTCGCGAGACGCATTTTGTGTTAGACGTGGGAGCAAAAGAACACGTTTGTGTGTTCGAAGTTGCAAGCGACCGACGCAGAGATTCGCGGTGGACGAGGCGGAGCACGTGGAGTACGTGGGGCACGCAAACACGTGGCGGCTGCAGAGCACGTGGCGACGCTTGACCCCAGGCGCGCTTCGTGAACCCCGACGGAAGCCGAGGAGGGAGCGAAGAGAAACGCGTTTCGCTTTAAAAAAATTCGCAATATATATTTTTAAACAGATCAATTCGCACGAATCGGATGACTGCGATGTTCGATTTTCTCCGTGCGGGTTAATTGGGCCGAGGGGAAGGCTCCGCGTGGCGATGGCGTTCATTTGCGTGGCGCGTTTCTCGTTGTCTGCGTCGTGCGGAGCGTGAAGTCGACCGCCGTGAGGTTTGTAGAAGGGGGCGGTGATGGAGAGTGGTGATGGGGGTGGTGATGGGGGGGGTGGTGATGGGGGGTGGTGATGTGGGGTGTGGTGATGTGGGGTGGTGATGGGGGGTGGTGATGGAGAGTGGTGATGGGGGTGGTGATGTGGGGGGTGGTGATGGGGGGTGGTGATGTGGGGTGGTGATGGGGGGTGGTGATGGGGGGTGGTGATGGAGAGTGGTGATGTGGGGTGGTGATGGTGTGTGTGGTGATGTGGGGTGGTGATGGGGGGTGGTGATGTGGGGGTGGTGATGGGGGGGGTGGTGATGTGGGGTGGTGATGGGGGGTGGTGATGTGGGGTGGTGATGGGGGGTGGTGATGGGGGTGGTGATGGAGGGTGGTGATGGGGGGTGGTGATGGGGTGTGTGGTGATGGGGGGTGGTGATGTGGGGTGGTGATGGGGTGTGTGGTGATGGGGGGTGGTGATGTGGGGTGGTGATGGGGGGTGGTGATGTGGGGTGGTGATGTGGGGTGATGATGTGGGGTGGTGATGGGGGGTGGTGATGATGTGGGGTGGTGATGGGGGGTGGTGATGTGGGGTGGTGATGTGGGGTGGTGATGGGGGGTGGTGATGTGGGGTGGTGATGTGGGGTGATGATGTGGGGTGGTGATGATGTGGGGTGGTGATGGGGGGTGGTGATGGGGGTGGTGAGGTGGGGGGTGGTGATGGGGGGTGGTGATGTGGAGTGGTGATGGGGGTGGTGATGTGGGGGGTGGTGATGTGGGGGGTGGTGATGTGGGGGGTGGTGATGTGGGGTGTGGTGATGTGGGGGGTGGTGATGTGGGGTGGTGATAGAGAGTGGTTATGTGGGGTGGTGATGGGGGGTGGTGATGTGGGGGGTGGTGATGGGGGGTGGTGATGGGGGGTGGTGATGTGGGGTGGTGATGGGGGGTGGTGATGTGGGGTGGTGATGTGGGGTGGTGATGTGGGGGGTGGTGATGGGGGGGGTGGTGATGTGGGGTGGTGATGTGGTGTGTGGTGATGTGGGGGGTGGTGATGTGGTGTGGTGATGTGGGGGGTGGTGACGTGGGGTGGTGATGGAGGTGGTGATGGGGGTGGTGATGTGGGGTGGTGATGGAGGTGGTGATGGGGGTGGTGATGGAGGGTGGTGATGTGGGGTGGTGATGGGGGGCGGTGATGTGGGGGGTGGTGATGGAGGGTGGTGATGTGGGGGGTGGTGATGTGGGGTGGTGATGTGGGGGGTGGTGATGTGGGGGGTGGTGATGTGGGGTGGTGATGGGGGACGGTGATGGGGGGTGGTGATGGAGGGTGGTGATGTGGGGTGGTGATGGGGGGGGTGGTGATGGAGGGTAATGATGGGGGGTGGTGATGGGGGTGGTGATGGGGGTGGTGATGTGTGGTGGTGATGTGGGGTGGTGATGTGGGGTGGTGATGGGGGGCGGTGATGTGGGGTGGTGATGTGGGGTGGTGATGGGGGTGGTGATGGGGGGTGGTGATGGGGTGTGGTGATGTGGCGTGGTGATGGGGGGTGGTGATGGAGAGTGGTGATGCGGGATGGGGAGTGGTGATGGGGGTTTGTATGTACGCAGTGTTTATGGCTGGAGTGTTGGTGGGGTGGTGTTGAAATGGAGAGTGTCTTATTGGGTGTTTATCGATGCGGGTCAGTTCATGTGTTGGGTGTGTATATATGATTCATATTGAACCTCTTTGACACAACCGTGCTAATCGGAGGGTGCGGGCAAGGAACACCAAACTAAACACAAGAAGCAGTTCTAAAGAGACGAAGTTTTCAATGTAAAAGTGCATAGCTCCAGTTGCTTTCTTCCAGGGTGTGTGCTCATTCGGAGTGTGCGTGTTAATGGTGTGTGTGTGTGTGTGAAAGGGAATAGTCCATGCGAGGCGATCTAAGGGTTTCATAATGAATCGCTCACCACACAACAACTCGTGCACACACAGCAAGCATTCCCTACAGGAGTCCCGGGCACAGGTCACACCCGGGCCTTCGACACTGCACGTGGCCTCAAAAGTGCCCCTAGCATTGCACAAACGCCGTGATGTCACCGGCACTCAGTCGTGAACGAGAGGAAATGGCCAGGCGTATTATAACAGTCTGCAATATTTCACACCCAGAAATTAGGTTGTTAAGTTACAAGAGGAGTGGCCAGGCCCATTTTAAGAGTATGCAATATCTCACACCCAAAAATTAGGACGTTAAGTTACGAGAGGAATTGGCCAGGCCCATTATAACGGTCAGCAATATCTCACACCCAAAAATGAGGACGCTTTTAGCAAGTAGTCTTTGCTTAGAGTTTGGGAAAGCCATTTAGTGATGCTAGGATGTATAAGTGAGTTGGTGGTCATGGGTTGCTGAGAGGGCACTGCGGTGAGATGTTTCTCCTTCACCTGGTATCAACGAGGTCATGGGTTCGATCCGGACCCTGACACCTGCATATTTGGAGTTTGCGTGTTCTCCACGTGACTGCGTGGATTTTTCTCTCGGTCCTACGGTTTTTCCCTCCACGTTTAGAAACATGCGTTCTGAGTATTTGGCTGCTTTACATTTACACACGGATAGGCCACTTCGTTGAGCTTATTATGTGGCCAGGTCCCTTCTAAAAAATAGCTAATAGCTCAGTGGGCCTTGTCTGGTAAAATATTGATAAGTTTAGAAACTGCCTCAGCGGTCTGTGATGACAAATATGTAAAACAATCACTTGGAACACCACTATTACCATCCGTAAGGGGGAAAATGGAGATCTGTAGTGCAGATTTACTGGGCACTGTTATGCTGTCTTGGGACAGGGAGAGCCTCTTAGCTACAACCCTCATGGAGCAAAGGATTGCGGGTCTGACCCCACAGTCACACATTGTCACTTTAAGATGTTTTTCTTGTTCGTGTTTTTGTTTGTTGTGGTTGCACCCGATTCAAGAGCCGAATGGCTCACAGGGCTATACCAAAATAAAGAAGCTGAAAACTGAAATGAGGGTTGTAGAGAAAGTCGTTCAATTTTTACAGTGAGCTCATATAAGTGTTTGCGCAGGTGTGTAAATCATCATTACGGTAAAAGTCCAGGTAAGTGCCCTGGCATGTATTTTTTTAAAGAGATTACTTTGCCGTAAATAAGAATGTGCACGTTCGTCTACGTAGGGCTGTGAAAGAAGTGCAATGTACGTTCATCACGGGTGGCTAAAACCTGGATTAGAGCCAAGGGATTTGGCTCTGTCGGTTTCATCTGCTGACACCGTAATTATGAAACCCTCTTCAACCATCACAACCGAGTTTTGAAAGACCTCTATTCTCATTTGTTACCCACAGCTACTTGTAGTGAGGCGTTATATACTCTTTGTTTTTTTCGGTAAAGTCACGTAGGTAAAAAAATAAAATAAATTAAATGACGACGTTTCGGGCGCAACACACGCGGTCCTTCAGGTGGGGACAATTTAGCGAAAGCACACCGCTTAAGTGTGTCCGAAAAAAACAGAGTATGAATCCTTGCAGTCACGAAAACTTCAAATCTAGAGGCGTTATATGTTGCATTGTGCACTGTAATCGGCAATATTAAGTACACTTTCTTTACACTAGAGAGCGTTGTTGCAAGGGAAAGGTGCCAAGTAAAAGGCTGGCATGTGAACTTCATACAAAAATAGGTTAATTACAATTAACCCATCCCTAACACAATCCCGACTAGTAATGCAACTCCTAACCTTAATCCTATCCCTAACCTTTGTCTTAACTCTTGACCTAACCATAACAATGCTGATAAAATGTTATTTTATGATCACAAACTTTGGCTTGATGTATGATACAAGCATGAAAATGGTCCTAATCGTGATATTTTGCACAATATAAGTGGAAAAGATCCTGGAACGCACTTGGTGAAAAGTTTTTTTTTGCCAGTGCATTCATGCATTAACAATATATACAAACATTAATGTACATGCTGTCCCTGAGACGTGTGCATTAGGTTTGTATACAGTATACCTAATTTAGCTCCAGCCTCCCGTAAATCATTGGACTTCTGTGTGGCCACCAGTGACTCCGAATCTCTCCCCACTACCCCCTGTGAAAAAGACAGCTGCATGCAGCACTGAGGCCCTTATATAATATCTAATGGTCACAACTTTCAATTTATTTTTAATCCCTTTTCTCTTTATTTCCCATTATTTATCTTCCATCGTACACCTTTCCTTTACGTTTTCCTTTCATATACATTATATCCTTGGCTCTACTCTCCTTCCTGTGGTGTGTCACGGGTAAAACATTTCTAGTCCATTGTTTAATACTGATAAGTGTCGAGTGCTGGCTATTAAGGCACATTTTTATGATAAAAGCTCACAAACAACATTGCATGCCATTTCAGTACTGTATTTGCAAACACAATAATGTAGTTTAACACGTAGGAGGCTTTCGCGAGTAATAGTCATAATACAGGGGGTTTTTTGGGGGTTAGATCGCGTAAATATAAATGTGTCGTTAAACCCGCCACCAGCCGAGACAGCCAATTAGTAAGGTTTGTCACGTAAACAGAACGTGCCAATTCGTTACTAGTACAGCACACCGGTTGTGTTGGAGAGTAAATCCACAACATTTTACAATCTAACTAAACATTTTATATTTACATGATCTAACCCCAAAAAAACCTGTATTATGGACAATAATGTAGGTCTGCTTGTTACATATTTTAAATTCATACAATTTATGAAGTGCACCCAGAATTTGCATTCACGATGTTGGTGTCAGTCCTGCGAGTGTTAAT